GGAAGGGTCTTAAAAATTTCTGGCCAAAGCCAGAATTCCATAAAAAACAGCCACTGGATTTATAGTGTGATAGCAACTAAAGTACAGTGTGATGACCGATGACAGTGGTTGCCAACTTTTGGTCCTCCGGTTTACCATTGTTAGGAATCGTGGGAGCTAAAGTCCAAAACACCACTGTCCTATGATAAACTTTTGTAAGAAGAAAGTTCTGAACATCCTGCCATGACCATCAAAAAGCTTTCTATTACAGTTTTTCATCAGCAACCATACTTAAGGACATAGCTGATTTTATGCAATTGAATGCAGATGTGCAAAAATGTACAAGAGGAACGTAATCACCAACCTGTATACATCTTCCAGGAAATACAAATCTCCAAATCTCTAGATCAAGAAGCTTGAGCAACCAGTGGTTTGATACTTAACTCTGTTTTGTATCATAGAATCATAGAATAATAGAGTTGGAAGAGATCACATGGTCCATGTAGTCCAACCCCCTGCCATGCAGGAAAAGCACAATCAAAGTATACCTAACAGATGGCCATCCAGCCTCTGTTTAAAAGTTTCCAAGGAAAGAGCTTCCACCACACTCCGAGGCAAAGAGTTCCACTGCTGAATAACTCTTACAGTTAGGAAGCTCTTCCTAATGTTCAGGTGGAATCTCCTTTCCTGTCATTTGAAACAATTGCTCTAAATCCTAGTTTCCAGGGCAGCAGGAAACAAGGCTGCTCCCTCTTCCTTATGCCACCTTTCCACATATTTATATATGGCTATCATATCTCCTCTCAACCTTCTCTTCTGCAGACTAAACATATCCAGTTCTTTAAGACACTCCTCATAGGACATGGTCTCCAGACCTTTCATCATTTTAGTTGCCCTCCTCTGTACACTTTCCAGCTTGTCAATATCTCTTTTGAATTGTGGTGCCCAGAATATGACACAGTATTGCAGGTGAGGTCTAATCAAAGCAGAATACAAAGGCACCATGACTTCCCTCGATCTAAACACTATGCTCCTTTTGATGCAGTCCAAAATCTCATTGGCTTTCTTAGCTGTTACACCACACTTTTGGCTTATGTTCAACTTGTTGTCCAGAAAGACTCCAAGATCTTTCCCACGTGGACTGTTGTCAAGCCAGGCATCACCCAACTTTTATCTTTGCATTTCATTTTTTCTGCCTAAGTGTAGTATCTTACATTTGTTCTTTTTTAAAAAAAGATATTTTATTGAGGTAAGATAGGGATGCATAAACAAAGTGTTTTACAATTAGTTAGAATAAAATACATAATAAGTGAAAACAAAGGCTGCATATACTCCCGTCATATCTTATTACTGCCTCGCTTCTTCCTTTTTTTTCTTTTCTTTTTTTCTTTCTCTTTCTCTCTTCCTCCTTCCTCTTTTCTCTCCCTTTCCCCCACCTTTTTCTTTTTTTCTTGGGTGTCTTTCTTTTTACATTTGCCCTTGTTGAAATTCATTTTGTTAGTTTTGGCTCAGCTCTCTAATGTGTTTGGAAATGCTGTATCTTTCTAGAACTTTGGAAAAAGAGAAAAATTCTGGATCCACATGCCTTACATGGCCTTAGATTAGACAATGGCATTTAATGCATTCATTCACTTAAGAATGATCTAAGAAGCTACCTTGAATAGAACTTACTTTATTTTGGACAGCTGAAGAGACAGAAGCCAAATCATTTTGCTAATACATTGCAAAGGTTTGTCTATGTGTGTTTATGAAAGAGAAAAAGATTGAGATTGTGTCCACATGCTGTGTGTTTGAGGGAGGAAGGGAAGGAGGCTAGGGAGTAAATCAAATCTTTTGAGATCTAGAACAAACTTGTCACCAGGCCCGTAGCCAGGATTTCGATTTGGGGGGGGGGGCTGAGTCTGAGTGAAAGAGGGTCTACCCTAGCAAACCTTTTGTATCGTTACCCCAATACCACCATGCATATGGGATATATTGAGTATGGTGATCAGATCATGATATGAATAAACATAACAGTTTAAATAATGCACCAGTAAGGCCTTTTCGCGAACCACCATGAGAATTGGGGGGGGGGGGCTGAAGCCCCTCAAGCCCCCCCCCCCCCCAGGCTACATGCCTGCTTGTCACATTTCTTTTTGGGGAAAAAATCCCTTTACCTATATAGATTGATCAACCGATCACCCAATAGCAAAATGTTTTAATATGCAAAAGGTAATTCTAACACCCTTGAGACTAATGGAGAGAAGTAAGTTTGTCAAATAAGCTTCCGTAGCTGAGTGTAGTTCACCAGATGCAGTAGTAGACACAACTGGAAGAAGGTTTATGCCACAAATTTCTTTTTCTCAGTCTCTAAGTGTTACAATATCCCCTTGATTACCAATCCGGTCTAACATGGCTTTTTACATTTACTGGGCATTGATGTTCCTGAAAACTCCAGAAACTGATTCTGAGATACAGATCAATGGCTATGAAGGAATTTTTTTTATTTCCTGAGCTAAATTTGCAACTTATATCTAAATCTGTTGCATGGCAATACATAATTTACCTGCTGGAGTGTAGTTTCTAAGGTTTAACTTTGATGCAGTTATGCCTCCAAGAGAGATTTCCATTATTATGGAGATGAAGTACCTTTAATGACTGCAATAATGTAATTGTACCCCAGGGCAAAATCCCTAATAATGCAATTGTATAGCTTTCAAGCACCAATAAGAGACATCTTCAAGGCAGGTTATTCATTAAGGGTGTAGTACAGTAACTCTGCTTCATGAAAAGCATAAGAAACCTAAAACAATAAAACTCTTTATTCAAAATTGGTTCTGCCTCCTGGGCAAGCATCTAACTTAGTTCTGCTTCAGTGTCTTTGGGTGCCTCTAGTGCAAGATTCCCAGTAGCACAGTTAACATCATTCAATTCCATTCTTTAGGGACTTGTCACATGGCTGGCTTGATCTCCTCTTAAGGGTGAGGCATGGAGCCCTTGTCTCACCTTGTTTTGCCTTGCTGGCCAGCAGGGCAATTACATGGAGGGAAACGAGGAATGTGCATACTGTGTGTGGCTTCCCCCATTGAATTGGCAACACAGGAGGCTTCCTGTGTTGCCAGATCTAAGCCGGCTAGTCGGCGAGTCAAAGAGAGTCGAGGCGAAGGTCCATTCCCTGCCCTTAAGAGGAGCACCACCACTAGCCACTACTGGCCATGTGACAAGGTCTCTAGATTACTTTATGTGGCCCCTCAAGGCTTTTAATTCCAGGGCAACATAGGACCCTTCTAGACATGCCTAAATCCCTAAAGAAGCTGGCATTTAAAATGCTGGTTCCTCTCAGAATTTAGGCCACCTAGAATACCCAAATCCTGCAATGTTGGTGGGTGGGCTAGAGATTGATGGGCAGGGCATCCAGCTCCCCAATTTCTGTTGGATCAAAATATGTTTTTAAGGGGAAAAGGAGGCTAGGAGGGGAGGACTGCAGTGCCATCCCTCCCTCAGGCAACTAGAGTTTGAAGAACTGGGATGGCAGTGGGAATTGACCCTCAGGATCATGGAAAGCAATCCCAAGACTTAATTCCCACAGTTCCAACATATGTAAAGATCTGGATCTTATTGCAGTTGTTTTTTTAACCCTAAGTAAACCTGAAAATTCAGGTTTACTCTGGATCAATCCAGATTAGCCTGAAGTGTCATTTGGATGCCTTAGGCTAATCCAAAACCCACCAGAGACTTTAGGTCTGTGTAGAAGGGCGCATAGTTATATTTATAGTCTTACAATAACAAATGGGCTTTTAAAGGCAACCATAAACCTAATGTAACCCTTGGTGAAAATGAGTTTGATACCCCTGTTTTAGACATTCAGTTCAAATGTGTAATCCCACTACCTGCATCCCCACTAAGGTACAGACATCTTTTTTTCATGAAACAGCCCCTTCCAATATATGACTATTCAGTCTCTGTTTCAAAACCTCCAAAGGAGACTCCACCACACTCTGAAGCAACACATCCTACTACCAAATTGCTCTTTCTATCAGGAAGTTCTTTCTAATATTTAGGTGAAATATCTTTTCCTGTAGTTTGAATCCATTGCTCCAATTTCAATCTCTGGAGCAACAAAAAATAACCTTGTTCCATCTTCAGTATGACATCCTCTCAGATATTTAAACATGACCATCATGTTCCCTCTCAGCTGTCTCTTCTACATGCTAAATATACCTTAGCTACCTAAGCTGTTCCTCGTCAGGCTTTGGTTTCCATACCTTTTATCATTTTCGTAATCCTTCTCTATATTGACATATTTCAGCTTGTCAATATCTTTCCTGAAGTATGGCACCCAAAATTCAATTTAAATTTAAATTCCCTCTGACTTGCTTATGAATCTCCTCCCTGTGCCCAGAGGATAATTTAATAATCTGCCGAGTAAGGAAAAAACTTCATCTAATGAAGTGAATAGTGCTGTTGAAAAACTTAAGACAAAATGAAATATTTAAGATATCACAAGACTTACACATTCTGTCCATTCCAGTGGAAATCAAACAAAGACTGCTGTATCTCCAATTGTCTTTTGCTGTCAGTTTAATTAAACAAACTAATATTTTTATGTAGAAAAAAAGTAAAATTGATTTCTTTTGTTGTATCTGTATCTAGCTGAAAGTAAACCCTTCTAACTATGCTACTTAGGTCATATCAAAAGTGATATCTCTAAATGAAATATGACAATTGTTCAATTAATTTCTAAATAATTTATATTTATCAGGAAGCTATAAATTTACAACAAATTTGAATAGGTAATGTTCAGCTTCACAATTTCCCTGAAATGATATTGTTTGCTAGCTATTTTCTTGAGGTTATTCAAAATAAAAAGACTGAAATTCAAAATGTAACAGAATGTAGAGATTTCAGGAATTAATATTAGATGCTTTCTATCTTCTGGCTGAACAGCTGCGCTCACATTTATCCACAAGCTGATTTCCAGGGCATCAAGCATATTAGCAGTCTTTTAATGCAAGCAATAGTTATTACTTATCAGGTATTACCTCTCATTTTCTCTTAGGATCTCTTTTCCTTTCTTCCAAGTAAAGGTAGGCCTTGGGGAAGCTTTGGGCTTACACTCAATGGTTGCGTCACCACCAACTTTAACAAGAGTTAACCTTTTCAAGTAGTTTTTGGAAAAATCTGGACCCACAGCTGAAAGACAACATGGGAGTCAATGAGAACCATCATCATTTTAAAACGTTTTTAGCTGCATTTACTTATTATAGATCATGTAGAGTTCACATCACTAGATTTCATAATGTGCCCTCTCCATAATTAGAGAAGATATGAACTAAACAACTTCTTGGATACAAAGATCCTTCCACAAGCACTTCTGGACATAATGAAACAATTTCTTTTATCCTTCCCTCCCCTGAAAAACTCTTCCAAAGAAGTAGAGAACTGATTCCATCTACAAACAGAGCTAGGAGAGTGCTTGTGTTATAATTCCAGTCTCCCATTGCAGTTAGCTGTTAAAGTTGCTATGTTTTATATGCACCATATTATTTCCCCATTATCCAAAATCCAAATATTACCTCTCTGATAACTATAAAAACATACATCATAATTCTATCAGCTTGTGATATAAAACTGTAAGTTGACGCCCTCCCTCTAACTATGAATTAATGAAAACAGTTACACTCCAAAAGACATAAAGTTATCCATTGCAATGTTACATTCTTAAATCCAGATTATGGCAGTCAGTGTGGATGAGAAGGTGGGCAGAATTACTAGTTTTCTCAGCCACTAAATAAGCAAGCCATGTAAATGGACACTAAACTTACAAGTGATTTTCTTTATTTTATTATTTTGACATTGGATTTAGAAAACGGAAGCCATAGATTCTGTGGGAGAGACTACACTTCTGTAAACTGTCTGACTCTATTTGCCAAATGAGAATATGAAGGAAATTGAGAAGGAATAAGCACCAGTTTACTAGCAAAATGTCTAAGGATCTATCCACAATGGCCAAATGGGTAGGGGTGGAAGCGGACTCCATAGTGTCCTGTTTGGAAGCTTCATGAATGTTAATGTGGCTATCAGGTTTTCCCTAGGGTTAGGTAGTCCAGGGAGAATATATGACACTTGCTTTCCTTTTGTTATTCTTGGCTTAACAGTGACCATAGAGCATGAAACTGGTGGTGGTCATCTCTCATTACATTGACAAAGGAGGTCAGAATGACAGAATGATCGGAAAAGGGAGGGGGAAACGAGGAAGTGATTCCTTCTCTTCACCCCTCCCTTCCATTTCCTGAGTCAGTCTGGCACTCTGATTAGTGTGAATGGTTTCAATAAGCAGCAAGCACCGCTAGTTTCATGTCCAGTGGTCACTAAACAGGGATCACCACTGGTGGGTCATGTGGACTCCAGCCAGTCACTGTAATGATTTAATGTCATAAGGTGTTGCTGACATGGCACCTGACTGCTGGCTGTGGGGATTCCAGTGGCACTGATCCAGAGTACCCCATTCTGGGCCAGCATTGTCATATGTGGCCCATGTAAATGGACCATAAATCAAAAATCCTACCAAGAGTTTGATTTAAACTACTATACCACATTGTCTGTCTAAAGGAATTACCATATTTACACAAATGTAATGCACATTTTTTTTCCTTAATGGCTTAGTCAAAATGGAGATGTGCATTACATTTGATAGTGCATTAGAATTGCATGTCAAAAGGTGCCTGTATCCCTTCATCAGGTTGAGGCTGGTGAATTCACCAGCCTTGGCCTGATGGTGGAGCAGCAACTGGCCTCATTCAGGCTGTGAATGAGGCCAGTTGGGAAATCAAGCAGAGGCTGGCAAGTTCACAAGTCTCGGCACTGTTTCTCCTTAACTTCTCAGCTGAGAGGCTAAGGTGATGGGGATCCCTCCCTTTTCAAGCCTCATTCCCCTTAGCCTCCCAGATGAGAAGCTAAGGTCATTCTCTCTTTCTCCAGTCCCATTCTCCTTAGTCTCCCAGCTGAGTCATATGTTTTGTTATGAGAGGCAGGTTGTTGTTGTTGTTGTTGTAGCAGTAGTAGTTGCAGCAGCAGCAAATGTTTTGAGCCTGTACATATTATTGCCTTTTCTTTTTGAACCCATGCTGTGTGTGGCAAGGTATTATCTGCACCTCTACTCTTCTGCATGTGGCCACTGGTTTAATAATCTGGTTCATACACAGGCTGTAATTTACTTTAGTCCACAACCCATAAAACCTGTGCTGATTAGCCTGTGGGCCTAGGATTTTGGAACAGACAGAAGGGGGGGGGGGATTTCTCCTACTAGATCATAAGTAGGTAGCATGGGTAGCATTCCTGATGTTGTCACCTGCCCAATGGGAGTAATGGTTACCTTGGACAAGGGTTAGCAACTAGTTGATACTACTTTTTCCAGCAGTAACAACTGGGAACAACTTGTCTCAAGGCTATAGGATTACGATAATTTTGCTTTCATGACAATACTGCACTTTCTAGGAATTTGATCTCTCATGTGAGCATGAATTACTCCTGCAGTCTCCTCTCTGATGCAGGAATAAACAAACAGTTTACAGCAGTATTTTCCCTTATATGAATATCCCAAAGTGTTGCAGAGGGATTTTTATGCAGAGAAAACACATTCAATTACCAGGAGAAAATTGTAAAAAAATCCATGTTCTATTATAGTTTTATTTGACCTAGAAATAAATAAGTGTATATGTTGTTTTGTCTCTAATATGGTGTACAAGATTGTGTCAGTTGTATAGTTATGTATTTCTCTCATAATTTCTTAGTGGAGGGAATAGACTCAATCTGGGCTAAATTGAATTGTTTTTGTTTTGTTTTGTTTTTTTGCTTCCCAATGGCAATTCACCATAAAGGATTTAGTTTGCCACTTCAAGGCTCTAGCTCAGTTTGTTGGCCGGCACACCTTCCATAAACCCAGCTATAGAAGAGACCCATATTGTTAAACTGGATTGCATGAGAAGTGTCAATTCCTCCTCCACCATCATTATCCCCACCATGTGGTCTGGAACAGTGATATTGGCCAGACTAATGGACTCTAGTTCCAAATCATTCCAAACTCTTCAAGCTGTACACTATTCATGGGCATTTGTAGCTTGACCTAGTCAGTGTAGATGTTGCTCTTGCAAAGCTACTTATACATAACTTATGTGAAGATTAAGAGGGAAAGCATATTTAATATTAGCCAATGTGAACCAGAGTGGTGCAGTAGTTTGAACATTGGATTATGACTCTGAAGACACCAAAGTTCAAATCCCCACTTGACATTGGGCAAGTCATACTCTCTCTGCCTCAGAATAAATTAATGGATAACCTACCTTCAACAAATGTTGTCAATAAACCCCCATGATGGCTTTGCACTAGGGTGGTTATAAATCAGAAATCACTTGAAGACACACAACAAAGAATTTATTTCAGCATAAGCTTTTATTCTAGCCATGAATTTGTAGAATGCAAATTCTTACATTGAAATAAATTGGCTAGTCTGAAAGGTGCCACAAGACAACTTTTCCTTTCCTTTTTGTACTGAAACAGACTTACACGGTCATCTCACTGAAAATGACTACATATTTGAAGAATATCTGCTGTTTAACACAAATAGAGAGTGGAAGGTTGGTGAATCTGATGGTAGAGGGGGAAAAGGAAGGAAAACATAGCAATAAAAGATCACACAAGTAGTAGATGAGGGAACTGTGTTCGGAAGAAAACATAGCGCAAACCTCTATCATGCTGTGAGAGGAAGGGCACAGAAGGGCACAGAGGGGGAAAAATGGCAAGTATTCTCAAAACTGAGTACATGTAAACCATAATGCAAAATCCATCAATCTATTTTAATAATAAATAATAATTTAAAACTTATTACAACAACACTACAAAACTAAAAATCAACTATGTTTTTCATCAGCTTCCCATTCATAGTGTAAGTGACCTATCTAGCAATTTAAAATTGCTTGGTAGACTGGAAATATATAGTTGTTCAATGTCAAATGTCAAACATGGGGACTGTGAATAGTGAGGCAAAATGATATTATATAAAAACATTAAAACCGAGCCTTCTGTTCTTGCTGCATTAAAATTATCATTAAAAGACAGCTGTATTTCTAGATGATAGAAGACAGAAGGAAAGAAGAAATGGGTCTGATTTATAATCTCTTCTCCTTCCTTCACAGCTAAGCAGCACAATCATGTATGTAGTAGGGTGAAGTTTACAAGAAATTGACTGTCACTTCCATAAGGGAGATTGTCCCAGAAGTGGATTTAATCCAAACTGTCATATAAGTTGTACACATATTTTTGGAATAGACTCCAGATCAATGCATAATCACTTTCTATCAAACTAACCAGTTAACAAGGCTTCTTAACATTCTTCCCTCTTTATTAAGCCTTCTAAGAAGGATTTTATTATCTATTTCAAGCAACCAAAGGAATCCTTTAATTTTAGTTCTAAATCTGATAAGACTGTCTTGTAAACATCTAACTGCTCAGATGAAAACTCAGCACAATTTCATTCACACCATGGGCCGAGACAGTATTATACGGGGTGAACAAGGAGTGTTCAGAGAAGGCATGATCCTTGTATGGTACATAACACTCTGAAAGAGATTACAAGTATTAGATCTGATAGTTAAAGATCTTCCAGTGAATAAGTGTTTATGGCAGAATAATGAGGTCTACTATTGGTTGCAAATTCAGTCTTTAGAATGTGTGATATTTATCTAAGTTCATGTTGAGCCACTGAGATTTATTTATTTATTGTGTCAAAAGTGAACAAAACAGTTTTATTTTTTAAAAAACATACAAAGTTTGCAAACTTGGCATTCTATTAAATGTCCTTTGACCAGTATCTGGCCACTTGAAGTGCCTCTGGTGTTGCTGTAACAAGGTCCTCCATTGTGCATGTGGCAGGGGTCAGGTTAGTAGGTGGTCTGTGATTTACTCTTCTCCACACTCGCATGTCATAGACTCCATTTTGTGGACCCATTTCTTAAGGTTGGCTCTGCATCTTGTGGTGCCCGAGCACAGTCTGTTCAGTGCCTTCCAAGTCGCCCACTTTTCTGTGTGCCCAGGAGGGAGTCTCTCATTTGGTATCAGCCACTGATTGAGCCACTGAGATGCATTGTAATTTCCATGTGCACTCTTGGTTTGTTGCCATAATGGGTTGCTTAGAG